TTTGAAATAACCAAAACCTCTCTGAAATCAAAAACAGTTCAGCATAAATGTTTAATATCTTATTCCACCTTTTAGCCACTGAAGTAGTTGTTTGATGAATCCTTTTCTCAACCTTTTAAAAAATATTATCCAGAAATATCTTTGTCTCAGGAAAATTAGTTTTTATTTCATGACTGACTTATAGTTTAATTACACACCAATTTTTATACATCCACCCTCTTCCCTATTAATTCCCTGGTAATTCCAAGGAGTTTTAGCAATCTAGTTAAACTGGGCTTGTCAAAAAAACAGAAAATTCTAATTACCTCACAACTATTTGTGTTTTTAAACACATATGAAAGAATCGAAAAGACTTTTCCTTAGACTGAACTTATGTTATGGGTAAGAAGTATAAGCAAGAACATCAAAAATGTAAAAGCTTTAAAAAACATTTTTTAATATTGAGATTTTTCATACTGTAAAAGTAGTCTTTCGTCTCTGCCATGAAACCTGTACTCTCATTTTTAAAAGGTAAAAGTAAAAATCATAACCTTATATGAAAGCACACGTGTATGTTTCCTACAAACTTTACATCAAAAAAATTCTCATAAATGTTACCAGTGAAACCTAACTTTTGATTTTCCTTTGAACTATTTTGTGGCTGAATAATAGACTATGTGTTTTAAATCTTGAAAGAGCTTCTAGAATAGGCTTAAGTTTCAAGATTTTATGTCATATTTATTCGCTTCCTTTTTTCTCAGTTCTTCTCCCTATCCTAAATGTCACCAACCTGGTACTAATAGGTTCTTGTGTTATTGTTATTTAATGCCGTCTGTTTAATTGTAGGACATCTCAATCCTTTTGGAAGTAAGAGAGTGCGTATATACATATACCTACATGCATAAGTGTAGTTGCAACCATAAAAATAATTTTTTTTTATTATCTGGATAAATATAGTTTTAAAGTGATGTAGCAGCGAGATTAGATAATCAGCACTGAATTCTCTGGGGTCAGGTGTCAGGGTTATTTTAAGTAAAATGATTCCATTAATTTTCTTAAACCATCAATATCCTCATTTATAATCTCCTTTTCTACGAGGCACATTTAGTGGCCCCCTCCTGTGTACTCCCTTAGTATGTTGTATACACCTCTTATCAAGTCTTACCGTATTGTAGTTATTTATTTACAGGTCTATCTCTCTCACTAGACAGAATTCCTTTATGGATGGGACCATCTCTTATTCATGTTTGGATCCCTAGCATATATTACAGTGCCTTCCACATATTCAGCATTCAGTTATCAAATATGCCTTCTTCCAGTAAGTAGTTTTTACACTCAAGGAATCTAGGAGTGAATGCTGAATGAGAAAATTACCACATATATCCTTTAAAAAAGCATACTGCATATGCATTTTATAAATGGTTTATAAATTGATTTACACACAGCTTCTCAGTAATGCATCCACTTGCACACATCATTAACTTGGATAATTCAGTCATTATAATTAAAGCACATTGGAGTTCAGATTTATTAAGAAATGTTGAGACATACGAAAAGACATAAAGAGTACTCTGATAGGGGCTGGCCCCGTGGCCGAGTGGTTAAGTTCGCGCGCTCCGCTGCAGGCGGCCCAGTGTTTCGTTGGTTCGAGTCCTGGGCGCGGACATGGCACTGCTCATCAGACCACGCTGAGGCAGCGTCCCACATGCCACAGCTAGAAGAACCCACAACGGAGAATGCACAGCTATGTACTGGGGGGCTTTGGGGAGAAAAAGGAAAAAATAAAAATCTTTAAAAAAAAAAAAAAAGAGTACTCTGATAAACCTTCATACACACCATCCATTATAAGGAATAAAACATTACCGGTACTGCTAAAGCTCACAGTGTACTTCTCCCCAGTCTCATCCCACTTCCATCCCCAGCCTGGATCTGGTGACGTTGATCATTCCAGCACGTTTCCCTACGCTTTGACTACCTGTGCTTGTAATCCTGAACGATATGCAGCGTCGTATGCCATGTTTTCATACTATTATGTGGATAGTGCCATCCTGTGTATATTCATTTGTACCTTTTTTCCCCGCAACGGTATATTTGTTAGATTCATCCTTGTTGATAGCTGTATTTGTACTTTATTTGTTTTCATGCCTCTATTCCACTGAATGAATATAATTTTTTAATCAGTTTCCTGTTGATGAACATTTAGGGTGTTTTCAGTGGTTTTAATATTACCGATAAAGTTAAGGAGATGCTTTCAAAAGTCCTTGCTAAGCCTACTAATGGTATAAATTTGAGAATTTAAACTATTTAGGAAGAGATTCTACTTCTGTTTTTAGACTATTTACACTTTTGGCCTAATGTTTGGGATCTAGCAATAAATGTGCTAGTTGGATTTCTGTTTGCTGAATTACTTGGTTATTTTTTCATGACTGACCTTGCTTCTAAAGAAAATTTGAAGCAACTTATAGTTAAACAGAAAACACATAAGCCAAGATAAAGACAAGTACCATGTTATTTCAAAAAACCTAGACTGAGATCTTGCATCATCTAAGTCTAAGGATATATAGACCTCCTCCCACACAAGATTACTATTCCCATCAGCAATATTACTACACATACACAAAAATAATATGTTACCTTTTAGATATTGAAAATTCATTTTGAGTTTAATTTTGACCTCAATGAAAGAAGATAAATTGTCAAATTACGTACCGAACTGACATTCATCTTAAATTTTGAAAAGATTTCTTTTATATAACAGGCAATAAATCTCTAGACTTCAAATGATTGTACTTTTAAAGCAAAATGTATAGACAGTGATGAATGGCAGAATGACAAGATATTTAGCCAACTAAAAACAAAATCAGGTGCAGATAACGAGTTCTGACCTTTAAATTTTGTGACAAAATGGTTTTAAAAGCGAGCTCAATTGTCTGAGTTTGTATCAATGAGGGAGGGCCTCTGAAATGCAACTGCTCAATCCCTTTATCAGTGTTTGGACAAATTACTAAAATACCTAGCCCTCTGAAGGCTTTCCCCTACTTATAAGTTGTAGTTATTGGCCTTTATCCAGATTCAGATGTTAGAGATTAGCCTAAAAGCTGAGTCCTGATTGAAACAGATTTAGGTAGACTAGCCGCTGAGCCTTTCCAATTCACATTGCTGTAATCTATTAATTTCACTGAATGAGACACATGAGGATGCTATAATAAAAACCTTTGATAAAGAGTCCCTAGAGTCAAGGTGTATGCTTAGGGCATCATGTTTCTCAGTCCGTAGAAGTGCTTACGTCAGTTAAGAAAATATATGCCCCTCTCATGTCAGACTTAAAACTGGTATTCCTGAATAAGACTGTCCATCAGGAAATTGAGTGGCCTGTGGCCTAAGGAGGTATTGTTTTTCTTGTAAGTTCTTTGTTTTCATGAAAAGGCTCTTTGATTCTCAGAATGTATTTGTTTCAGGGTAATTCAATTTGAATTCAGCAATGCTCAGAATTCTCCTGAAAAGCCTTCCTTCAAGTTTTACAGTGTATGTTTTATAGACAACTGCACCTGATGAAATTTGAACAGTCTTTCACATGACATCAATTTTAATAATCAGAGCTTGGTTTCTAAGGTCTACATGGTTCTATCATGTGGAATATATAATTAATAGCAATGATATTTTCAAAATAGTAGTAACCTTTTTAATAACAGATCTTTCTTAATACTATTGAGGCAAATGCATAGCTGTCAATTATGGTGAGGAGATTCAGCTTCAAAAGAATTTTGTTTAATAAGCTTTCTTGCAGTTTAGATATGCTGCCATCAGGTGGTAGTAATATGTCATATCCATTTGGCTCTGCCGATGACATTCTGCTTAAGGTCACCAGTTTGCCCTACAAGTATTTATAATCATGAATGCATAGATTTTTATATGAAAATTAAAATAACATGGTGTATCTTTTTTAGTTTCAGAGCTAAGGATACTTTGAATAGAATTTTTAAAACAGATATATATTGGAAGATTCAGTTGGGCATGTTTTCTCTGTTCTTTGTATATCTATTCAATTTTTTTTGGTAAATGAAGAGTTTCATTTATGCCTTCTAAAAATTTAGAAAATATAGAAAAGTAAAATTAAAAGCACCAAATTTCATCACCCAACGATTATTGCTGTTAACCTTTTGTTTCATTTCCTTCCAGTCTTTTTTTTTATATACAATTTTTAGTATGTTTGCATTTTTTAGAGTGGAGTTTGATGGCAGGAAAAGATACTTAGCTGTAGTAACGGTGTATATACAGCATGTCTGTTTTATAACTTTTAAAATTACAGACTCTGTATCTGCATTGTGACTTCTTAATATTCTATTAATTGAAGTTTTCCATAATTTTATATAGTCATTTACCTATTATCAGATAATGTATGTTTCTGATCTTCATTCATCAAGAGTATTTAATCTCTGCCTTCTATCCACTGTCTATCAAGAGGACCATTATTTCATTGCATTTGTGCTTAATTTTTTTTTTTAAAGATTTTATTTTTTTCCTTTCTCTCCCCAAAGCCCCCCGGTACATAGTTGTATATTCTTAGTTGTGGGTCCTTCTAGTTGTGGCATGTGGGATGCCGCCTCAGCGTGGCTTGATGAGCAGTGCCATGTCCGCGCCCAGGATTCGAACCAACGAAACACTGGGCTGCCTGCAGCAGAGCGCACTGACTTAACCACTCAGCCACGGGGCCAGCCCCTGTGCTTAATTTTTAACACAAAAGAATTTCTAATTCATCTCTGAGTAGCTAGATATTTTATATGTCCTCTATAGCAATTGAAATGAAACTTCCAGAAAATTTGAACTTTCAGTTATGAATGAAGATATATAATCTTTGTTATTATTTTCACATCATATGAATTTTTTACAATTTTTGAATGTTTTATAATTTTATAGATTGTATGCAACCAGGTACCCAATACATTCAGGGCCTGTGATATTATGAGATGGAACCATTAACTACTTCTTGCCAAAATAACTTTTTCCTTTCTTTTTTATAGCATAGAACATTGCATTAAAGAAATACAGTCCGAAGTTAACAAACAATGCCCAGATGTGCAGCTGCAAACAACAACTGACTGTTTTGAATGGCTAAATAGCTATAATTATAATTCTTTCAAGTCACCTTCCATTCCCCATGGAGATTTGATAAAATTCCTCAAAACATTGGTAATAAAAGAATCTTTGCTTTATGGTGAAGTGGGGTGGGTGAACAGGGAATACAATTCATTCAATTTCTCTATGTATGTATTTATTTTAGTGACCATATTAGCCTGCCATATCTTGGAGTCAAGACCTGTGTTTTGTTTTGTTTCTCTAACCCCAGTGGAATCCAGTGAGCTATTTGTTTTTATTTTTTACTATGATTTTTATCAATAAAATGAAATTTTATATAAAGATTAAACGTTATAATTCCTGAGTGATTTGTGGTATGGTGTATACTATATCAACCCACAAAGTATGTTGATACGTAACCACAATTATCTACCAGAAAAGTTCCTATTTGTTACCTTTTGTGTCCTTTCATAACTACTTATTTTCTCTGTGCTTCACTATTAAACATAATAAGATCTCCATCAATTCTATCTATTAAGTAGCCTTGTCTATCATTCCCTTCATCCTCAACCTGCAGGTATACCCAGTTCTTTTCAGTCAAGGCAGCAATTTGTACAAGACCTCTGTTAATTGATGGAGAATTATTACATTGGTCATTCCTTGATACTGACTACCCTCTATGCTAGAGAAGTTTTTGTAGCCTTCAATCAAAAGTTATTTTATTACACCTACATATGCAATGGTGGCTAACTTGCAAAAACAGTTTCCCAGAGAAATAGCACAGTTGTTAGAAAGCAGTATTTCTGTAGCTATGGTTTTAATTTAATTTAGGGGAAAAAAGGCACTGTTTTTGTCTAAACATCAAACATTGACTAAGGCAGATGTGGAAAATATCTTGAGGTTGTAGATGGCTTAGGATGACAGAATCAGATGAAAGTAGTTTTTGGCTGTTATTATTGCAGATGTCTCTTTAATGTTTACAAAGTAATAAAAGGAAGAGAAAGGAAGACTATGTGCCCTGAAGCCTTATTCTTTTAAGAAAATCCTCTCACCCATTATCTCTTGAAGGTGGAGCCTTGAAGAATAAATATGGATATAGTTATTCCTTTAATTTCTATTAAGAGCCATGTGTATTGAATTTCATTAATATTAATGTAATAATGCTTTCTCATTTAATTAAAAGCAAAAGCTTTTAATTATCTTTTAATCTGTCACACATAAGTCATCCTCTATTCACTGCAGGGCAAAGGCTGCCTTAGTTTTGCTCAAATTCATTAGACTGATAGACTTGTTCCAGAACTAGGTTTTTTTACATAATTGATCATGTTATTTTGAGGAAAGAACCACATTATTAAAACAGATCCAGATTAAAATAACCTTATTATGAAGTTTTTACATGCTAAAAGTGTCAATCTTGACAGCATTTTTCATACATCTGTTTTTTTCCATAGAAAACTTTTTATGTATTAATTTTCTAGCTATTTAAATAAGAAATAGAGGGCCTCATTATGGCAATTATACTGAAGTTATTTTCACAATTTAAGCAGTCATACTAAGCATATGTTTTAAACCTCTGTAATCTATTATTCTTTGCTTGATCAAATATTTGCAGTTATTGACCGACCCAGGGTTGAGGCACCAATACGACTCATTTGCTTTATAGAATTTATTATAATGCTGATGTCCTGGACTCTATCTAAGGACATTTCTTCTCCAGAAGTATCCAAAGAACTAAATACAGGGAGAATAGAGAGAGAGAAGCTTCAGAACGGTCAGTGTACTTTGTGGCTCTCTAGAGTGTAGTAGAAAGAACACAGACAAGGAGAATGAAGCCAGGGATCCATTCTTAGTTCTGTGCTTTATTGTGTGCGACGTTTGGAAAATAAACATGCTGCATTTTAGTGTGCTTATCTGTAGACTGGGTTTCTAAATATTTGTGTCTCCGACTTTTCATTATGAATACACCAAAGATTGTATGGAAAAGTGTTTGTATATAATAAAACACTGTAGAGATATTGGATAATTATTTATTACAGGTAGAAAATTAAATTAGACATTCCAATGCTTAGAATGACTGAGAGCAAATTTTTGGAGTTTGTCTAGGAGTTGTTCCTAATTCTGAATCACAAAACCTGTGGTATCTTTGTCAATAAGAAATTTCAAAGCCAGCCTGATTTTATGGCACTTGAATCTTGCTTTCATTTTTCTTATAATCAGCTTGTTGCTACTTAAAGAATATAAACTAATTTCAATATTAGCTGAAATAGACATAATTAGGAAAGTCAGCATGTAAGGAGAATGTGTGCATGTAATTCAAAGTCCAAAAAGAAAGTAATTCTTTTGTCCCTATGCTATTCTTAATTATACCTATCATTGTTTTCTGTCAGTTAACACAGAAAGTATAAAGGAATAATTTCATATGATCTTTTGGGGAATGAGTCTGAGAGTATTTTTTTCCCATTTTGTGTTAGTTATTTCTTTGGAGAAAACTGAAATATTTTCAGATTAATGTCCAAAGTAAAATCATTCTTAACATGGCTCTCAAAAAAGGAATTTAAATGAAAGTTACAGTCTTTAAATGTATTAAATTTTGTTTCTCAGGATGGCAGCTATTAGTAACCCCTAGGCGCATACTATATTTAAAAGTCTCCATTCTGTATGTTCATTTGGGGTTCTATAATAATAAGTATACTCATTCAGGCATGAAGATTATCTACCAAAAATTAATTAGGGGCATGATCTTGAATTTATTTTGTCTTAGGAATATATTTCAATCAATGTTTTACTATAGATTTTTATTTAGAGTTTTTAAGCTGTAGCTTTCATACAGCTCAGCTTATATTGGGGGTGGCTAACAATGAGGGCTAAAAACTGTATGTCTGGAAATCTATTTGAAAATATGGTTCATCACCTGGGCTTTATACAATTTAACAGACCATAAAGCTAACATTCTAAAATGTCTGAATTGATTAAATTTCAAATGCGAAAAACAAAAATCTTGACGAGCATCTGAGTATTGATTTTAAATGAATTATTATAAAAATTTAAATTTAAATGAATTTAAATTGAAATGAATTATTATAAAATTGTGTACAACTGTAGAAATCATTTTTTCCTGTTACTCTTACAGTTAATCATATTTCTAACATTATAATTTACTTTTACTAGCAAGATTTGTTGAAGAATGAACAAAATCAAGAAGAAATGATATTGGATTTACTTTGGGACCTCTCCTGCCAGAGCAGCGTTTCATTCCCATCTGCTCTAAGTGGAACATCTTTCCATTTCCTGTCTAGGACTTCTCTTCATTCTGTTGAAGATCATTCTTCTATGGATGTGAAGTCTATATGGGATGATATAAGCCTACATCTTCGACGCTTCTTAGTGAGCCAATTACAAAGCCATAATGAAATAAACAATGTACAGCAAAAAATTTTGTTGAAAAATCAGTGCATACAACAACTCTTGTTTCTTTATCCAGAATCAGAAGTTATAATCAAGTACCAAAACATACAGAATAAACTGTTAGCTAAACTTCTACAGAACTGCTTTCCTTCTTACAGCAGAGAATCAAATTTAGACATAATGGTTCGTGGACACCAAAGTACAATGCTTAAGTTATACTCAATGATAAGAGAGGATTTTAACACACTGTGTGGAATTTTAGCTTCATCCTCAACAGTGAAATTCATTAAAGAAACTTACCTGGATACTGTTACAGAAGAAATGGCAAAATTTCTTGCAAATTTTTGTGAGCTGCAGTTCAAAGAAAGTGCTGTCCGTGTGATTAAAACAAGCAAGAGCTCCAGCAGGCATAGAGGAGCAGTGCATGCTTTGGGTTAGTGATTTTAAAATTTCTGTTTGGTTTCACTTAAGCCTTTTGATATCTTTAATTTTCTAAGATTTTTCTATTTGGTTAAACCTAATTAATGAAAAGATGTGAAATTTTGCAGTATACATTTCTCTTATGCATTCCTTTTTCTGTAAGTATAGCAATAGAAGCGTTTTCTTTCCTGTTATTTAATTTATTAAAGATATTGTAAATGTAAGTCAAAAATATTGCCAATAAGAGTTTTGGTTTTTTTGATAGCATAAATTATTGGGTGAAACATACATATATATGTATACAGACATATATGCACATATATGTTCATATATATATATATAATTTTTAACCCATTGTACCTTCCAAAGCCGAAGCATTATGAAGTAAAAAAAATTGTTGAAATTTACATTAACTAAAATTAGAAGTTTAAAATTATAGTATTTTAGCCAATTCCAATAAAGAGCTATTATGAAATACTAATAATAAAATTCTATCTTATAATTGGTTACAGAGGCATAGCATTTTAATATAGCTAATTTTAAAAGTTCCTCTAATATTATTTATATAAAAATAAAAGATGATTTGAAGATTCCTAATTTTATACAAAATATAAATGAAAAAGTAAAATGAAACTATTGTGATATAATAAACTTTTCCCTGTTGTCATTTTAATTTCCCACCAGTGGAGAAAAATCAAAGTAAAAAATACTGTTATTTTGAAAATTATGATTAGTCATGCTTTTACATAAAACTCCGAGGTATATATCTAAATAGGTTCATTAACTATATTTTTTAAGTATTTGAAAATTATCATTTGTTGAACTGCTATCTTTGAATTTATGATCCCTTTATAAAAATTTCCGTAGCTCACTATATTTTGACTTACCTTCCTTAATGAAATGCCAGAGTACCAAATTACTCTGATATGTGAATTTTCAAATAACTTAATTTTTTCTCTTAAAATTTTTATTTTCACCCGGAAGCTGGATCACATCACAGAACAGAGATGCATCAGCCAAGTTTAGGTTATGGCAGAATAGAAAGTCAGTTAATTTAGGAACATTACAGTCCTACTCAAAGCATATAGATTTTTCACTTTCATTGTTTAACACATAAATTTTAAATGCATTACATGAGTGTACTTATTTTCTAAAATTTTTATATTCTCTAAAAAAATTCCTGCTTACTTGTAAAGTGTTTTCAATATGAAAGTTTTATATGTGCTAAATATAGTTTATAACAGAAGAAAAGATCCATATGGTTGAAAATATGTGTAAGTTGCTATGGAGTCTTTAGGGCTGATATTGAGGTGTTTTCCCATTCGTGAAAGAAAACTATGCGTATCGGTTTTAACACCAAAATTTAAAACATTTTCCACAAGTCTCAGTGCACTGATCTTTCTCAAGCTCCTATATCTGAATGTTGGTTTAAATCACTTGATAAATGAATGCTTTCTATATGTCAGGCACTGTGCTAAGTACATCCCATTCCTTATTATTCCAATTTCATTAACGAGGAAAGAAGCTTAGAAGGATTAACTTGCCCTGGATCGTGTTGTACAGAGTCAGGATTCATATGTAGGTCTTTATGTCTCCAAGACCTATGTTCTCAACCATCATGCTATTTGACCTTGTCTCAAAGGATAGAATTAAATGCTTTGTCACTTGTAAAAGAAATTTCAAACAGCACTGTTCAAGTGGGCTGCCTGAATATCAATTCAGTTCAGCTCACCTACCATAAGCAAGGCATTTGGCAGCACCCATGTTTAAGGTTCTAAGCCAGACAGTGAGGGGAAGAAAATTAAAAGGGTAACTGCTGCTAATGCTGTAGGAGAACTGCTGAACTAACTTTTAGTGGATCAACCATATTTTCCAATAATATTTGACCCAGAGACCAAATTTTATTTATTAAGGAAATACAGTTGTAAATGAGCAAAATAACAATAATAATTTATTAATATTTATCCATAAAAAATTGTAACAATTTATTTTCCTATTTGAATAAAATGTAGATTGGCTTGAATGAGTTGTATATTATCTTTATTTATATCTATATCTTTATGTTCTCCAAGTCTTCAATATTTTGACTGAAACTATGGAAAAGATATTCCTTAAGTAACAATAGCTAACATTTATTGGGTCAGACATTGATGTGCATTATCTTATTTAATCCTTCTAACCACTTAAGAAGATAGGTACCATTATTTATTATCTCTATTATATAGTGAGGAAACTAAGGCAGAGGTACATAAAGTAATTTACTCAAGGTTACACAGTGAAGCCAGGATTCGAACTCAGGTCTGTCTGACTCCAGAACCCTTGCTCTATGACTGTGTTCTACTGCCTAAGAGTGCAGGAAGGAAAAAGCACATTCCATTAAAAACACTGCTCTGAATCCTCTGTATGCTAACTCTACTTTAGTATAGCCATTGTTTGACTTTTCTCTAAACTATCTCACACTCTTCTCATTTGAAGACTACATAATGCCAATTAGAAACTTTTTGCTTATAATTCCAATTTTGTGATCTATCAATATATCTTAAGCAGGCCTGTATGTGTACTAGTTTTTTTGTTTCCAGTTTTATTAAGATATAATTGACATATAACATTGTGTAAGTTTAAGATGTACAACATATACTATAGCTTGTACGTTTTGTTATTTGAAGAAAATGATGATATAATGTTAATACAAATATTACAGTATATTTGTGATTTGGTGATCTATCCTAGAAAAGAACAATATTATTTTTGCGGATACTCTTTTACAAAGTTTCAAGAATGATTTAAGAAGCAAGACTTGCTTAATAACTCTGATTTTATTAATCTGTATTCTTAGAGTTTCTCTAATAATTTTTGAGGAAAATTATAAATTTTATAAAGGTTTATACTACAGTATTTTATTTTTTCATGTAGTTTATAAGGCTTTAAAGTCAAAATAAACAACTTTCAAAAAGCTAGAAATTTGCATTTAGCATTTTGGTTACAATCTTGTTTGTCGTTATCTGGGAAGTCAGATTCATATTTACACATGTACTGGTGTACTTCCACATTTCAGGAGAATAGTACCATTCTTATATTGTAAGAGTCCTCTATGTCTGTATTTAGAGTGGTTAAGTGATCAAGTTAGTTTTACTTTTAAAACAGTGTTTTCTTTGGATTTAAGAAAAGTTATTGCTACTTTTCTCAATGCTTGAAAAAGAGAGGATTGTTTATGTATAATAAACTTCTGTTAAATGAATCCTCTCTATTTTAATATGAAAAGGTGCAATCAAGAGATTTCAGACATCAGATAAATTTCGTAGTCCCCTGTATATCTTACCCTGAATTTTTCTAGAGGTTATTGTTAGCTTGAAAGAGAAAGGCCTAAGAGAGTATGATACATGCTTTTGAATATTTGTAAGGTCTAAAAATCTACGATGGATGAGAGTTTGAACCTGAGTGGCCTCTAAAGCCACTTGCCTTTCACAGTCTCTTGCTATTTTGTTTAAGGAAGATGAGGGGTGAGGGAAATGGAATCTCTCAGGGGATGGAAAGATCCTTCAGGGTAAAGAAGTCCTGCAAACCAAAATAAAGGTAGAATTCTTGACTAGGGAGGCACAGATTTAAGCAGGCCAGTCAAAAGTCACCCTGCTGTCTCTCCTATTCCTCCAGTAGCTCCGACTAGCTGAGTGGTGATCTCAGGGAAAGGTGAAGGAGTGTATTGAGGCCAGCATGCAAAATGCATACGAAAGGAAGCGTTTGTATGAGTATTGCTAGAGAAGAGACTAAGTAAGCCTCCTAGGAAACTGCATCTCTTCTCCCTGTTGTGCTCCTGAGACAGAAGTAAAGATCTCCATTAGATCTCTGGTGACAATTACGCTTGTTATTAGTTGAAGCTGGAATTTCAAGTAATACATAAACAGTAAATGGGAAAAAAATTCATAAGCAAAAGTAATATCTTTACGCATTATCACAAATTTCTTTAAAGTAGTAATATAGTTTTAGTGTTTTTTGATGTATCATTGTTGAAAATACTAATAAGTGGCATCATTGATCAGCTTTTTTCCCCCCTACTGCTTTATCATAATTGCTATTTTTAAATGAAATACTGGTACATTCCTTGTTTACAATTTCTTTACTCTGAGAAAGTGAAAAGTGTGCTTGATTGGGAGTCAAGGATGCTGGTCCTGAATCTCCTTCCTCCTTGTTTTGTGACCTTAGATAAGTCATTTAAGCTCATTGAATTTTTCTAATCAATAAGATGGAAGGGTTTTATTAGGTAATATCTGAGGACCTTTTATCTTTAAACTTTTTCTGATTCTTTAAGTGACAGTGAAATCATTCCCCAACCAGAGTTTAATGCCTACGATTTGTCATTGGAAACTGCCACATTTATTTTCTCTACTGTCAGTACAGATATATTAACTGGCTAAGCATGTGGCTTTGTGTGCCACAGTAGCAGATACAAAAGCCTCCTTTAGATCTTTATCTGTGTGATTTTCCTTTTCCAAGTGAAACTTGAAAATAACAATATGAAAACTGCCCTCCTCCTGTGTTTGCATTTTTTATAAGGATGAAAGGGTGAAGAGGGGAGTGGGTGATTAGGCAAAAAAGGAAGTGGAGTCTCCTTCCAGTTTACATCGGAAGCTATTCCCAGTCATTCTTTTCAGTTTTCTCTTTGATCCCACAACCAAATGTTTTTATTTTGTTTTATTTTTAGTTTCATTTTTTATTTTTTATTTTTTTGCAGGAGCATCTTTAATCAAATAATTGAAAATTAAGATCACAGGCAAGAACTGGAAATGCAATTATTAGTCTGTATTGTTGATTGAAAGAAATCCATATCCCTTTCCTCTGGCATGTATTTAAAGCAGGCAAGGCAGGGATTTAATAATGACTTGTGCTTTGGCCTGGGGAAGAACCGGCTCATTTCGGCAAGGCTGTAGACAGTAGGCATGGACAATACTATTTCTTGGAAAGCAGCTCTGGATCCATACAAATGCTTGTATGAGTACGAAATGAAAGCCTCAGAGT